ATTGAGTGAATTTTTAGAAATAATTGAATTTTGAAAAGGTTTCAATCTTTGAAAATTTGAATTTATAGTTACAGTATTCAAATGATTCAAAATAATGTATTTGAAAATCTTAAATCCTATATAGAAAAATAATAATGATTAAATTATTTATTTAAAAAAGAAGTTATTGATGTTCTTCAGGGTCAGGGAAAAAGTGAAAATTTTGTCTGAAAATCAGGGAAAAGTCAGGGAAAAACAAAATTAAAGTTTTGTGGAAACCCTGAATAAAAAAAAATAGAAAAAAATTATCCTAAATATAAATAATTAAAAAAATGAATTATCCTAAATATAAATAAATAAAAAAACAATTTATCCTACATATAAATAAAAATAATAAATATTAATTAATATTAATTATTCCGCTATTGTAATTTACCGTAGAAAAATATACAATTTAGCATCATGAAAATGAAGTGGAGAAAAACAGGCGATAATTGCCATCCGCGAATAAAACCGTTGATTTAATAGAAGAAAAAAAAAATCCGTATCACTTTGTGTGTATAATGCAGAACAGATGTGAATCTACATGACCAAGAATTACACATATACCTGTTAATAAATTGATAAAACCAGTTTTTCCCAAGTGGCAACAAGAATATGAATTTTAAATATCTAATATCCAGTTTTCACATATTGGGATTTATTATTAAGTATCGTCACTGGGAAAAAAAATTTTTTTTTACAAATAGCCGATTATAAAATGAGATACCACGTGCCGTAAATATTCATACTTGTGATTTTATATATATTCGTATTATATTGTATATTAAATAACAGGAGTTTTATGCGCTGGAAAAAATTTGATTCAAATAAAAGTGGAATTATCGAAAAAAATGTTTATTTGTATCGAATTGTTTTTAAGTCAATTAAATGTTATATATTACATATCCTGAAGAAAGATATGATTACTAAATTATTTTTTTTTTAAATTATTATTTTCTGTTCTTTATTGACGACGAGAAATTAAAATTTGCAAAGTGCGATGACAAGATTTCCCCGCTCGGAAATTTTTCTCGATTTTTTCTCGAAGAAACAATATTTCTCTCTTGCAACATTGAACGATAATAATCAAGATGAGATCAATAGCCGAGGGATGAAGATTAACATATTAGATGATGACCAGAGGCGGTTAATGTGGTAAATAATAAAGGATAATAGGCGGAGATAACTGGTATTTCATTCAAGTTGCGGACGTGTATTATGATTGACCGAGCCTAAATGGATGATGAACGATGCTGTGTGTGCAACTGATTTATCTGGATCTTAGAGAGATGCCTCGAGAATCAAGAGGAATATTCTCTTTTTCAAATTATTCTGTTTGCACACGTGTGTGCGACGGTAGCTACGAATAAAAAAATCCCTAGTTTATTATTTTTTGGACAAAAATTGACTTTTCTTTCAAATACTATGATCAGCAGTAGTCGAAATTTTTGTCAGTGCTACTCTCAAAAAAATTCTTAGTCAACTATTTTTTTGATCAAAAATTCACTTTTGTTTTAATTTATACTATTCAGCAGTAGTCGGAAATTTTGAAACAAAATTTTTTTTAAGTGACACTCTCAAAAATATTTCTAGTTAACTACTTTTCACTTTACTATTCAACAGTTGCAGACTTCGCACTCATCTACCAAAACCTACTATTTACTACTTTTTTTTTTAACAATTTGCTACTATTTGGATACTTTTTAAGATTTATGACACTAAAAGCTGCTTTTTTCATTATTATTTTTGAGAAAAATTTGCGTTCACTTTAAATTCGCTAATAGTTGAAAATTGAAATCAATCTATACAATTTTAGTAAAATTCCACAATAAAATTCTTTGCAAACATTCAATTTTTTATAAGTAATAAAATTTTCACAGGAATTGAATTATTTAAAATATTTCATAAAATTAAAAAAAAAAAATTAATTCAAAAACTTTTTACAAAATTCTACCTTAAGAATTCAATTATTTTCTTCACAAGCAATTACATTTTGCACGAAAGTTCAATTATTTATAAAAAATTAAATAAAATTCCAGAATTTTAAAGAATACAATTATTTTCGTGTAAATAATAAAATACTTCTCAAGAATTATTTAGAATTTCAATAAAATTCTTCAGAAGAATTAAATTATTTTCACAAATAATAAAATTTTTCAAAAGAATTCAATTATTTAAAAAAAAATAAATAATTATTTTTTAAAAAATTGATAAATTCTTGAAATTTTTCATTAATTCTTCACAATTTTTCAATTATTTTCCCAAATAATGGAATTTTTCACGAGAATTCGATTATTTAAAAAGAATTAAATAAAATTCTTCGCAAAATTTCAATTATTTTCATTAATAATAAAATTCTTCTCTGAAATTCAATTTTTTTTTTAAAATTGATAAATTCTTTCTTTAATTTTTCACGAGAATTAAATTATTTAAAAAGAATTAAATAAAATTCTTTGCAAGAATTCAACTATTTCTCAAAAATTATAATCAAATTTTTTAAAACGATACAATTATTTTCAAAAAATATTTGAAATTCAATTATTTTCAATATCTAGTATTTTCATAAAATTTCGCAAAAAAATTCAATTATTTAAAAAAAATTGGTAAAATTCACCCCAAAATTCAATTATTTTCATAAACAATAAATCTCATCAAAGAATTTCAATTATTTTTAATACTATTTTAAATTAATTAATAAAAAAATTCAATTATTTTCACAAGTAAAGTGTTCTACAAGAATTCAATTATTTAAAATAAAATTTTCATAATATTTATTATATTTCGAAAAAATTAATTATTTGAAACAATGTTTATAAAATTCTGATGAAGAATTCAATTATTTTCAAAAGTAACAAAATTTTTTCACAGAAAATCAATTTTTTTTAAACATTTTAATAAAATTTTTAGCAATAATTCAATTATTTTGATAAATAATAAAATTCTTCTCAGGAATTCAATTGTTTTTGAAAATTTTAATAAAACTCTTTGCAACTATTCAATTATTTGCATAAATAATAGAATTCATTACAGGATTTCAATTATTTTTTATTCAATTTTAATTAATTTTTTTTTTGAAATAATTCAATTATTCTTTTAGATTTTAATAAAATTCTTCCCAAGAATTCAATATTATTTACATAAATAATTCTTCAAGTGAATTCAATTATGTCGATAAATAACAAAATTAGCTACTTTTTGATACTTTTTTTAAATTAATTATCGAGTGCAAAGTATGCAGTTGAATAAATTTTCCAAAAATTAGTTATTAAAATAAATGTTTTTTTAAAATTCTTTGAAAGAATTCAATTATTTACAAAAATATTAGAATTTTTCACAGGAATTCAATTATTTTCAAATATTTTAATAAAATTGTTCGAAAGAAATCAATTATTTGAAATACAATTTTAATTAATTTTTTTTTAAATAAGTAATTCAATTATTCTTTTAGATTTTAATAAAATATCAATTTTCCAAAAGATTTTTGGAAAATTTGTTCCATTTTTGATTTCGGTTTGTCTATACTCAGAATAGTAGCGAGAGAGGAGAGAAGAAAGAGGAGATAAAAATGGAGAGAAAGAGAAGAAGAGAGAGGAGAAGAAAAAGGGAGAAGAAAAGGAAAGAGAGAAGAAAAAGAGAGAGAGAGAGAAGAGAGGAAAAAAGAGAAATTCTGAAGATGCAAATTCAGAGTTGAAGAGGAAATCTAGTAGTATAGTATGCGGTTTGAAAAGGTAATTTTATCGGATATAAAAGGAGTGGCTGATGCTCCTAGGATTGAAAAAGGGCCCGCCAAGAGGTTGCGTGTTGATGAGTTTGCGGAGGGTCGATGTCCGCCTTGTGTATCGTTGAATATGTGGTCGCCACTTGACTTTGCTGCTTTCTACTTTCTGCCACTTTACTTGCCACTTCTCCCTTTTATAATGAAATGCTTCAATCTCGATTCGCAGTGGAAGGTTTTTCAGCAAATGCAATTTTTCTTTTTTCTATTCCCAAGAGATTTTCAACTCTCTGGAATTTGTCGATTTAGTCACAAGTCCCCAGAGAGATTTGTCTCTTTCTCTCTCTCTCTTTATATCACACACTTTATTATTAAGAGGCATTTTATTTTTATACATTTCTTTTCTTTTCAAAAAAAAAAATTAACTGTTGTAAACTATCCGGAAAAGAGAGTTCGAAACAAATCCAGAAAAATCCAGAAGAAATGCGCAAAAGTCAGACAAAAATTAGAAAGAAATCCAGAAAAATTTAGAAAAAATGCGGAAAAAGTCGAAAAAAAATTCGGAACGAATCCGGAAAAATCAAGAAAAATTCAGAAGAAATGCGGAAATATCGGAAGAAATCCGGACAAAAAATTCTGAATGACTCCGGAAAAATTCGAAAGAAATCCAGAAAAAAATTCAAAAAAAAGTCTGGAAAAAATTCGGAAAATTGCCAGAGGAAATTGGGAAAATTTTGATTTTGACAAATTGATATTTTTATAGAAATAAAATTAATTAACAAATATAATATTAAAATTAATTAATCCCCCTCCCATAGAAAGTACAAACTTGTGACAAAGATCCAAACAAGAAAGGGTATTTCATTTTTTTTTGTCCCAAAGTTTATAGAACTTGGATGCGGCTAATTTAGGTAAAGTTCTCTCTCGTGAGAAAATTAATCTGCATTCCACTGGAATCAACCGGTTAGGAGAATTTCTGAACTTATCGATTCGCGTTATCATTTGACGGAATTTGAAGAATATGAGCGTGTTTAAATTCCCGTTTGATAATCTCGCATATTTGAATTTTGTTTTCGTAATATTATAAAATAAACAAAATAAATTATTGAAAATTTACAATAATTGCCATTTAAATATTCATTTTCACACGCAGATATAATTTATTTTTCTTTCCCGCTTTTGTCTTTTTTTTTGTTTTCTCTCTTTGTTGTTTTTCTCAATGATTTTTCTTTTCTAAACGGTAGTTTTTATTTGAATGTTACAGGAACTTGGAACGTGACTTGAGCCTCTCTGAAGATAGCGAAGATGAAGTGGATAAGGTGAGAAAAATTGTTGCCATACATCGAAAAAAAAAATATATTTTCATATCTTGTTTACTTGTTTTTCATCGAAAATAAATTTTTTTTCTCTTCTCTTTTTTAGATTTTACCACCGAGACCGATACCAGATCTTTCTGTCGAGTAAGTTATTAAAATTACGATATTATTTGGTTGCATTTCTTTTTTTTTATTATTTTGTATTATTCTGTTATTTATTATTTTATATTATTATTATTTTAATTGAAAAATAAATTTAAAACTATGAAAAAATGTTTCATAAAAAATTCTAGAAAAATTCAAATTATTATTTTATTTTATCCAGTGTTGCCAAAGGGAATTCAGGAAAAATTCAGGGATTTTTATTAAAACTACTGGAAAAACATTAAATTTTTAGAATTCGTAAGAAAATTCTTAATTTTTGTGTCTTTTTTGTTTGCCTCATAAACTATGAATTTGCGACGAATTCTAATACAAAACCTTCAAATTTTTCTATTTCCGACAATAATTTTTAAAAATTCTCATCAAAATTTCAATTATCTTTAAAAATAATAAAACTCTTCGAAATTCAATTATTTTCAAAAAATTTAATAAAAATTCTTTGCAAAATTCAATTATTTTCATAAATAACAATATTCATCACAAGAATTCAATTATTTTCAAAAGTAATAAAATTCCTTGAAAAAATACAATTATTTTCAAAATTGTTTTAAAAATCCTCGTCAAGATTTTAATTAATATCTTTATAACTAGCAAAATTTTTCGCCAAATTCAATTATTTCTAAAAATCTTATTTCAATTTTTATCGAAATTTTCAATTATTTTCAAAAAATGCTTCTGAACTTAATGATTTTCAATATCTACTATTTTAATGAAATTTGCCTCAAGAATTGAATTATTTAAAAAAGCTTTGATACAATTCTAAGCAAACATTCAATTATTTTCAAAAGTAATAAAATTCGAGGGAAAAATTCAATTATTTCAAAAATTTTAAAAAAATCCTCTTCAAGATTTCAATTATTATCTTTATAAATAGCAAAAAATTTTTGACAAAATTCAATTATTTCCAAAAATTATATTAAAATTCATCTCCAAAATTCAAATATTTTCAATAATTTTCCTCAATTTAATGACTTTCAATGTCTCATATTTAAATAAAATTTACCAAAAGAATTCAATTATTTAAAAAAAAATTTTCATAAAATTCTACCCAAATATTTAAATATTTTCATAAATAATAAAAATTTCACAAGATTTCAATAATTTATCAATTTTTTATAAATTTCTTTGCAATAATTTAATTATTTTCATAAATAATGAAATTTTTACAGGGATTCAATTATTTCCATAAATAATAAAATTATTTTTAGGAATTCAATTATTTTTAAAAATAATAAAACTCAATGCTGAATTTCAATTATTTTTAATACAATTTTAATCAAATTCCTTAAAAAAAATGTAATTATTCTTATGAATTTTTATTAAAAGTCGTCAAAAAAATTCGATTATTTAAATATTTGTTAATAAAATTCTTTATGAAAATTCAATTTTAAGAAACATTCAATTATTCAATAATAAATTATTTATTTTTTTATTTAAATAATTGAATTCTCGTAGAATTTTCTAATAAAAATTGATTTAAAAATGAATTTTAGTTAAAAAATTCTTCTCAAAAATTCAATTATTTTCAAAAATTTTAATAAAATTCTTGACAAAATTTCAATTACTTTCATAAATAATAAAAATTTTTTAGGATTTAATTTAAATTATTTTTAAAAATGTTATTAAAATTCGTCAAACGAATTCAATTATTCAATAAATTATTTTTTTTTTATTTAAATAATTGAATTCTAGAAGAATTTTCTAATAAAAATTGTAACTGTATTCTTATAATTTAAAAAAGGTTTGGATTTAAAATTTTTGAAAATCCCTATTTCTATGGGAACAAGAATAATCATTAAGTATATTTATTTAAAAATGAAGTTATTGATGTTTTGGAATAATTTTCCAATTAAAGAAATTCGTAAATAAATGTAATAGAAAATTTTTTTCGAGTATCTAATAATTTTGAGAGTGAATCAGAATATTTCAGGGAAAAAGTCAAAATTTTGTCTGGAAATAAGGGGAAAAACAAATTAAATTTTTTTTTGCAACTCTGTATATTTTTTATTATTGAATGAATACGAAGATTCTTAGTTTTTCTGCAGATATTAAATTGGGACAAAAAGCAGATTCGCTTTTTGTCTCAATTTGATATCTGCTGAAAAAGTGTGTTATTATAAATTATGTTTTATTATTTTTAAATATTTTCATTTAGTTATGATTATTTTTACTCATTTTTAATTATTTTTACTTATTTTTTATTTTTATTTATTTTTTATTATTTTTACTTATTTTTTTATCATTTTTACTTTTTTTTTATTATTTTTATTTTATTTTTTATTATTTTTATTATGTATTTAACTTTTTTTTAGTAAAAAATAATTTTCAGGAATTTTTTTTTAGTATTTTAACTTATTTTTTTTAGTATTTTCACTTATTTTTATTTTATTTTTTATTATTTTTACTTAGTTTTAATTATTTCACTTGAATTTGATTTTTCTCTTGAATTTATTTGATTAAAAGATTGATTTCCTTTTGCAGTTTAACGGCACCTTTGCTTCCGGCGATGGCGTCAGCAGCTGGACCGCCCTTACCGCCAATGTCGCCGATGGGAATGTCGCCAATTGGTCCATTGTCGCCGCCGAGGCCGTTGAGTCCACCGGCAGCATCGCCGTTAATAAAGCAACCGATGCCCACGCCGCCAAGAATGCTCTCGCCAACAATTTCAAGTCCGGCGAATAAACGATCACCAAATCCTCAGGCTCACCAAAGACCTCCAAGTCCACCTGGACAAGCGCCGCCAAGTTCTGGAAGCGCGAGTTCCAGCTCGGATTCCGGATCGGATTCCTGTTCGGATAGTAGCGATGACTCGGAAGATGAAGTGGCGAAGCCTCCCGTCAAGGGCCCCACGACTCCACCCTCCGTCTCCCCGCCAGCTCCCGTCGAGGAACCGCCGTCCGCGGTCGAGGAATCGAAACGCCGATGGGATCTCAGTTCGTTCATGAACAAAACCGCTCTGCAGACCGGCGATCAGAACGCTGACACCAAAACCAAACAGGTATTTTTTTTTTTTTACTTTCGATACTTTCGAAAACGTAAAACCCTCTCAAGGGTTGCCACGCAAACTGGAAAATCTGGAAAACCAGGAAATGTCTGGGAATTTTATAAACCTTGAAAAAATCTGGAAAAGGCAGGGAATTTTGATCGAAATCCTAAAAAATGGTTGATTTTCTAAAGTTATTGTATTTATTCTTGAAATCTATAATTTTACTTAAATATTTCAGAATTAATTCAATTTTAAAAGAGTTGCGCTTGCAATTTTCAAATACTAGATGAACTTCAAAAAATTTTGATTTGAAATTTTGTAAAATTTCAATTTTAAATGAATTTAATTAGAAATTTTAAAAAAATTTTAATAACTAAAAATCTTCTGAAATTAGTTAAATTTGTTAATATATATTTAATTGATTATTCAAAATAATGGATTTATAGAAGGATTTTGATTAAAAACAATAAAACAAATTGAAATTTGAAGCAATTACAAATTATTGCAGAAATTCAATTTCTTTTAAATAGTAAAATTCTTGTCAGAAATTCAATTATTTTCGAAAAATTTTAATAAAATTCTTGGCAAAATTCTAATTATTTTTAAAAACTTTCCTTAATTTAATGATTTTTAATAATCTACTACTTTAATAAAAATTCCCAAAAGAATTCAATTAGTTAAAAATTTTTTTAAAAATTCTACTCAAACATTTCATTATTTTCATAAATAATAAAAATTTCACAGAAATTCAATTATTTACAAATTATTTTTCAATTATTTTCATAAATAATAAATTTTTTTACAAGGATTCAATTATTTTCATAAATACATAATAAAAATCATCGCAGACTTTCAATTATTTTTATAACAATTTTAATGAAATTCCTTGAAAAATGTAATTATTCTTAAAAATCTTATTACAATTTCTCAAAGAAATTCAATTATTTTCAAAAATATTAATAAAATTCTTTGTAACAATTCAATTTTTTTCAAAATAATTTTAATAAAATTCTTCGTAAGAATTTAATTATTTTAAAAATTTATCAAAATTCAATTATTTTCAATGTCTACCTTATTTCAATATAATTTTACAAAAGAATTCAATTATTTAAAAAGCATATTTAATAGAATTTGTCTCAAGAATTCAATTATTTTCAAAAGTAATATAATTTTTCGCAGAAATTCAATTATGTTCAAAAATTTACAAAAATTTCAATTATCTTTAGAAATAATAAAATTGTTCTCCAAATTTTAATTATTTTTAAAAAATTAAATAAAATTTTGACAAAATTTCAATTATTGTCTACAATTTTCCTCAATACAATTATTTTCAATATCTACTATTTTAATAAAGTTTTCCAAAAGAATACAATTATTTAAAAAAAAATGTTGATAAAATTTTACGCAAACATTTAATTATTTTCAAAAATAATAAAAATTTCACAGGAATTGCATTATTTAGAAATTTTTTTATTAATTTCTTAGCAAAATTTCAATTATTTCCATAAATAATAAAACTCATATTTTCAATTATATTCAAAAATTATAAAATTCTTCGCAGAAATTTAATTATGTTAAAAAGATTTACAAAAATTCTCGTCAAAATTTCAATTATCTTTTAAAATAATAAAATTCTTCTGCGAAATTCAATTATTTACGAAAAATTTTAATTAAATTCTTAGAAAAACTTCAATTATTTTCAAAAGTTATTTTCTCAATTGAATGATTTTCAATATCTACAATTTTAATAAAATTTTTCTCAAGAATTCAATTTTTTTTCAAAAGTAATATAATTCTTCGCAAAAACCCAATTATTTTCAAAAATTTACAATAATTCTCCTAAAAATTTTAATTATCTTTATAAATAATAAAATTGTTCTCCGAAATTCAAAAATTTTCAAAAATTTTTAATTTTTAATAAAATTCTTGGCAGAATTTCAATTATTTTTTTAATACAATTTTCATCAAATTTCTCGAAAAATGAAATTATTCTTAAAAATTTTATTAAATTTTTTTTTAAGAGAATTCAATTATTTAAAAATTTGTTAATAAAATTCTGTATGAAAATTCAATTTTAGGAAACATTTAATTATTTCTTAAAATATTTATTTTTGCAGTTAAATAGTTGAATTCACGTAGAATTTTCTAATAGATATTGATTTGAAAATGAATTTCAGTGAAAATTTTAGATTATAATTGAATATTGAAAGCATTATAACGTGGATTTTTATAGAAATAATTAAATTTTCAAAAGGTTTTAAATTAAAATCTTTGAAAATTAGAACTTTTCATACTTTTAATTAAGAATTTTGTAGAATTAATTTTTTTCAAAAAGTTTAATGGAATTTTTTTTTAATTATTTGAAGTTTTTAATTTCTAATATATATTTAATTGAAGAATTTCAGAATAATCGAAATTTCGTAAAATTAAATTGTAAACAAAAGAATTTGAAAATTCATAAAAAACTTTTTCAAAAATTATTTTGAAAAAATTGACTTAAAGAAGAATTTTAGTTGAAATTTCTAGAAATGAATAATCGTAATGATGAAAATATTTCTTGAAGAAGTTACAGTAACAAAGTATATCAAATTTTAATTTCAATTATTTTTAATACAATTTTAATTGAATTCCTCGAAAACTGTAATAATTCTTAAAATTTTTATGAAAAGTCGTCAAAAGAATTTAATGTTTTAAAAATTTGTTGACAAAATTCTATATGAGAATACAATTTTGAGAATCATTTAATTATTCAATAAATTATTTATTTTTGTATTTAAATAATAATTGAATTCACGTAGAATTTTTTAATAAAACTTAGTTTAAAAATGAATTTCAGTTAAAATTTTAGAAAGAATTGAATTTTGAAAAGGTTTCAAATTAAAATCTTTGGAAATCTAATTTTTTTCATACTTTTAAGTAACAATTCTGTAGAATTAATTTTTTTGAAACGTTTAATTGAATTTTTTTTTTTTAAATTATTTGAAGTTTTTATTTTCTTTTGTTATATTATGTAAAGAGTACTTTTCACCCGTTTATTTTACCAAATAAATAAATAAATATTTAATTGAAGAATTTCTGAATAATCGATGAAATTTCGTAAAATTGAATTGTAAACAAATGAATTTGAAAATTCTTAAAGAACTTTTTAAAAAATTATGAAAAATAATTGATTTAAAGAAGAATTTTAGTTAAAAATTCTAGAAAATAATAATTGAATTGAAATGATGAAAACAATTTTCAAGAAGTTACAGTAACAATATTCTTAGAACATGAAATAATGATTTCATCATTTTAAAAAGGTTTCAATTTGAATGTTTTGAAGAATTTTAATTCCTACGGAAAACTAATAATGATTAAATATTTATTTAAAAAAGAAGATATTGATGTTTTCGAATAATTTTCCAATTAAAGAAATTCGTAAATAAATGTAATAGAAGATTTTTTTGTCTATCTAATAATTCTGCGAGTGAATCAGAATAATCTTTAGAGTCAGGGAAAAGGTCCAAGTTTTGTTTGAAAATTAGGGAAAAGTCTGGAAATCAGGGAGTTATTTAATTTGGTAATAATATAAATGTTGTTTTAAAAATTTGGAAAACCTGGAAAAGTCAGGGAATTTGAAAAGAGCAAAAGCGTTGCAACCCTGCAGCCTCTTTTTTCTTCTTTTTCTCGCTGAAAGAAATTTTGAGAAAAGTAAATTATTTGGAGAAGAAAAATTTTCTAACTGAGGAACAAATTAATCAAATTTTCAATTTTTTTCCAGAATGACGCGTCGAGACGATCGGGTTCGCCGAGTGCCCAGGCGGAATCGAGATCACGTCGCGAGACAAGCAGAAATGGCGCTCACGATTGGCAATTGGACGAGGCTCTGAAGAGAACGCGAAATTCGACAATGATGAGCGTGCTGAGTGACAGTGAACAGCAATCGGACACGGAGAAACCCCCTGCAAAAGAAGAGCCAGAGAAACCAAAACCGCCAGACGTTCGAAAACGTGGTCGACCGAGAAAATCGGTAAAAAGTCCAAAACCAAACAATCATCGTGCGTCCGACGAGGCAATGAAGAATGTGACGAAACGCAGTCGACCAAGAGCTGGCTCGTCAAGTGTAGGCGGTGTCAATAGTCTAAAGAAGAAGGTACCTACCTCAAAGCCCACGTTGACGACCAGCGATGACGCGAGTGACGCGAGATCGCCGGCCGTCTCCAGTGATTCCGAATGTGAACGTCCAACGACAGCGTCGTCGGTGAAAATCCCGGTGAAACGTCGATCGCGATTGAGTGTCTCGTCGAATGACGACGATGGAAATGCTTCTGATAAGAATAGTGGTTCGGATGATGAGGACTCTCGATGGAGGCGGGTTTCCGTTAAGCGCAACAAAATCCCAGAATCGCCCAAGAAGCAACAGGATAATAATAAGAAGAAGAGCCCCACGAAAAGCAATCCCAGGAGGCCCAGATCTCGAGTCACTAATAATAATAATAATAATTCTGGTTACCATTCCGATTCAGACAGCGATTCTGAATTTACGAACAGTGAGGCCGTGAGGAATAGCAGAATTCAGGTACGTCTGGGACGCATAAATATTAGCTAAAAACGGAAATTTATTCGATTTTCCAGTCGATCGAATTTTAACAGGTTGCGTTTAAAATTCAGACGATATTTTATGGAAGTTTGGATCAATATTCAACTTTTGATTGTGGATTTTTATTTAAAGTTGAAGTTCGCAATGTTCAGAATCGATGATTTAGTAGAAGAAATATTAAAATTAAAATTTTACTTATTTAAAATTTATTTATTTATTCGTTAAAAGGAAGGAAATTATCTTCCACCTAAATTTATCAATTATTTAATTTATTTTTTAATATTTGTTTTCTTATTTTACTTATTTAACTTATTTAACTTACTTGACTCATTTAACTTATTTAACTTTTGTATATTTTTGTTTAAAAAAATTAATTACTTAATTAAAAATTTTTTATCAATAATAAAAAAAAATTTGTGTCTAAAAGTATTTTATTGTCTTGGTAAATTTACTTATTTCACTTTTGTATATTTTTGTACAAAAAAAAAATGTAATTTTATTGATCAATAATTAAAAAAAAGATTTGGACCTGAAAATATTTTGTTTTTATCAAGAAAAATATTTTTTTTTCTTTCAATCGTTGATAGTAAACGTTGTGAACTTCATTAAAGTTTTATTTAAACAGTTTTCGAGTGTCGAAACTTATCGACAGACATTTGTCCTAAAAAGTCCTAAAAAGTAAAATTATTATTTATTAATTATTATTTTTAATTTTTTAAATTTCGTTTTAAATATATTTGAAAATTTTGAAAATTTTGAAAAAAGTTACGTTTTATTCTTATATTTTTATAAACTTCGACAATAAAAAAGTTGTCACAGGTCAGGAAAATAAGGAAAGTCAGGAAATTTTTATCTGAAGTAGTAAAAAAATATCAAATTTCTAGAAATAGTAAAAAAAAATTCTTATTTTGCGTTCTTTGAAAACATATTGAAAAACTTAAATTATTATTGAATTTTCTTATTTTCTTAGAAACTTTAAAAACACTATGAAGAGTTACAGTTGTAATTTTTAGAAAAATATGAATTTTTGTATGTAAATAATTGAATTTTCGTATGACTTTCTGAATTATTATAAAAAATAATTGTTTTAGAGAAAATTTTACTGAAAAATTCTTGGAAATAATTGAATATTAAAAGAGTTTTTAGTGAAAAGTTTTAGAAATAATAATAAAATTGCAAAACGTTTCAAATGTAGTTTTTTTGAAAATTTTAATAATTGGTAGATATTATCATTTTCATTACAAATTTAAAAGAAATTGAATTTTCAAAATATTCTGTTTTCAGAAGGTTTGAAATTGAAAATACAAAATTTCAACCTAATTCTTAAAATTAAATTATTTTGAAAATTAAATAACAATAAGATTTTAAAATTATTCATTTAACACAAATTTTTTAAATTTTGAATAATTTAATATTTATGCCTAAATTTTGAAACTTGTTTATTTAAACAAATTTTTTTTTTGAAAATTGAATTTTTGAAAATAAGTAAAAAAATGTTAAACAATTAAAAAATTTAAAATTGAAGTTATTGTCGTGATATCAATTTTAAAAAATAATTTAATTTTAGATTATAAACAAAATTTTTTGAAAATTTAAATTGTTGCAAACAAATTATTTATAGTTAAATATTTATTTAAAAACTTTCGTAAGTTTTAAATAATTTTATTAAAAATTCTAAACAAATTATGTTTTTTAAAAAATTTTTAATTCAATTTTCTGAAGATATTGAAATTTTTTAAAAATTTTATTGAAGCATTATCAAATGGAAAGTTTAATTAATGAAAATAGTGTAAAATAAAAATCTAAATAATTACATTTGTTTAAGAATTTTATTAGAAATTTTTAAATATTTATTGAATTGAATTTTCATGGAATTTTGTTTTCAATAATAATTGGTAAATAATTGAATTTTACAAACAATCAAATTTTTTTGTTAATTAAATTAATTAATTAACAATTTTTTTAAAAATGGATATTTTTATTAATTAGTTAAAAAATAGTTATTTATTAAAATTGTAATGAAGTTTAAATTCAAAATTTTGTTAAAAATATGAATTTTCAAAAAGTTTTATTCAAATTCTGAAAATATTCCGTTTTTAGGAAATATTAATTCCATTTACTAAAGTTCTGTTTATTGTAACGAAAGTTTGAAAATAATTAAATTTATTGAAGAATTTCATTAGCAATTGGAAAAAAATTGGATTTTCAAAGATTTTGAATTTTAAACTTAGTAAATATTTGAATTTAACAAAGAGTAATAATCGAATTTTTTTTATTAATTATTAAAAATTTTATTAATTTAAACTAAAATTAAAGGTTTTTTATTAATTGGTTAATTTTAAAAAGATTTAAATTCAAAATGTTGTAAAAAATTGAAGTTTCTGAAAAGTTTGATTTAAAATTCTGAAAATTTTTTTTAAATAGGTATTTTAATTCTATTTTTTAAAGATACTTGATTTTTTGTAAGCAATTAATTTTGAAAATTTTTGAAATAATTGAATTTTTATAAAATTAAATTAAATTAAAATTAATTAAATTTCAATTATATTTTTTTTAAAGAAAATTGAATTCATTATAAGCGAGTATAATTGAAAATTCTTGAAATAATTGAATTTTTCTAAAATTTTATTAATTTAAATTAAATTTCAAATTCTATTTTTCTAAAGATAATTGGATTTTTATAAACAAGTGTAATTGGAAATTTTCGAATGACTGGAATTTTCTAAAATTCTATTAATTTGAATTAAATTTAAATTTTATTTTTTAAAGATCAACTTCTTCTAGTAAAAATAATTGAATTTGCTAAAAGAATTTCGCTTCTAAAATTCTGTCTGAAAATCAGGGAAAATGAAAATCAAATTTTTTGGCATCTGTGAAAATAATTTAGTTTTCGTCGTACGATTAAATTAATAATTAGATAAAAGATTCTGATCTTCCAATTCAAAAAAAAAAAAATTTGAAAAATAAACTCTTCCGTTTAAAAATGTTTTTCAAAATAATAAAATAATAAAAATGTGAAATGTTTTGCAGGTCGCTCGAGTACCTCCTCGACCTCGAGCTCCATTAACGAGGACAACATCGCCAGACAATTCGGACAGTGACAATAGTCCGGCATCGGGAAAATTACAGGAGGAAGACGGCGGCAATGTTCAGGACAAAAAGAAGAGTGACACTCTTAGGAAATTATTCTCATCGGCAAAGGGCGGTGGCAAGGGTGGCGGTAAAGGTGGCAAGGGCGGCAAAGGTGGCGGCAAATGCGGTATATACGTCGAGGAATATACATCGGCAAATACTCCAACAGGTGGAGAAAGTCCATATAAGAGGCTCTCGTCGCAAACTTCCACAATTCCGATACCTCCAATTAGTTTTGTTAATGGTCTACCTAGTGTTCTCTGTCGACTTGATTTAAGTCGAATTTCCCATATACCGCAAATTTCACGCGGCAAAGAACTGAGACAACGTACCGAGCTTCCCGACACGAGGCCGTCTTCCAGACAACAACAACAAAATTCATCGTCCGCGCAAAGATCGTCAACGACGACGACGATGACGACGCCGACAATACCAGAGGAGGGTGAAATTGTTGAGAATCCAACGACGCAGGACGTTAGTAGTAGATCGCGTTCAATGGACACGAAAAACATTGTGATTAAAACCGAATTGGAAATGAAACCGTGTTCTGTAAATATTATTAATATGTGTAAAGGTGATGGTGATAGTGCCGGTTTAATGAACACATCAAGCAGTTCCGGTTCGGGTTTAAGTGGTGCTTTCAACGGCAATGCGCCCAAGCGGAAACGCAATTTGAGTTGTAGCTCGGTTTCGAGTTTGAGTACTGTGTGCTCGGTTGATGTCAAAGTCAAGGACGAGGCCAAGGAAAAGAAGAAGAAGAGGAAACGAAAGCACTTGGAGTCTGATGTCGTTGCTTCCAGACCCTCCGCTAATCAGGTATTTCATTAGTTTCCTCATTTTTTCCATATCCTTCCCGAAAACATTAACGAATATATTAAAGGTGAAAAAAGTTAACAATCTCTACGAATCAATTTCACACTTAAGCTTCTTAATTTTTCGGAAAGAAAATTCTGGGATATTGCTAACTTCTTCCACCTTTAATAAATTACTACCGAATGATAAACTTCTTTTCTTTAATTAACGAATATAATTCAAAATCTATATTAATAATCGTTGTAATTCGGTAATCTGTTCACAGTTTGAAGTTAACTTTTTTGTTTCCTAACTTTTTTAATAATTTTACTTTTTAAATATTTTCAAATTAATATATTGAAAATAATTGAATGCTTGCAAATTAAATCAAAATTTTTTTTAATTTATTGAATTTCTTCTTCGAAGAATTTCATTATTTTTATGAAAATAATTGAATTCTTGCGAAGAATTTTATTTAATTATTTTTCAATAATTGAATCATTATGAAGAATTAAAAAAACAATTTAACAATTTTTTAAAATAATAATTGAATTTCAGTGAAGAATTTTATTATTTATGAAAATAATTGAATTCTTGCGAAGAATTTTATTTAATTTATTTTTTTTTAAATAATTTAAATCTCATGAAAACTTTTATTATTTGGAAAAGTAATTAAATAATTGTGAAGAATTAAAGAAAGAATTCAAGAATTTATCAATTTTTTAAAAAATAATTGAATTTCTGAGAAGAATTTTATTATTTATAAAAACAATTGAATTTTTGCGAGTTTTATTTAATTTTTTTTCTCATGAAAACTTTTATTATTTGGAAAAATAATTGAATAATTGTGAAGAATTAAAGAAAGAATTCAAGAATTTATCAATTTTTTAAAAAATAATTGAATTTCTGAGAAGAATTTTATTATTTATGCGAAAATAATTGTATTCTTGTCTGGAATTTTATTTAAATTTTTATAAATAATTGAATTTTTGTGAAAAATGTTAATTGCTTGTGGAAATAATTGAATGCTTGCGGTAGAGTTGTATAAAAAGTTTTTAAATTGATTTTTTTTTAAATTTTATGAAATATTTTAAGTAATTCAATTCCTGTAAAAATTTTAATACCTATAAAAAAAAATTGAATGTTTGTGAAGAATTTCATCAAAAAATTTTTAAATTATTGAATTTCTTCGAAGAATTTCATTATTTTTATGAAAATAATTGAATTCTTGCGAAGAATTTTATTACAATTTTTTAAAATCCTAATTAAATTCTTCTGAAGAATATCTTTAATTTCTTTTTTGAAATATTGGAGTTTCTTTAATGTTTTTAATTAAAAATTAGCAAAGTAATTTTGAATAATTTTAATTTTACTAGAAATTAAAAAAAATCTAATTTTTCGAAGAATTTATTAAAATTTTAGAAAATAATTGCATTTGTTCGATAAATGTTATTAAAAATTTTTTTTAATTGAATTCTTTCATGAAATTTTATTAGAATTAAATTTTTTGCAAAGAATGTTACTATTTATAAAAATAATCGAATTCTTTTAAAAAAAATGTATAGAGAATGAAAAAAAAATTGAATTCTTTTGAACAATTTTATAACGAATTAAGAAAAAAAATTTAATTCTTTCGTGAAATTATATTGAAAATAATTGAAATTTTCTAAAGATTTTACTATTTAAAAAAATAATTGAATTTTAAAGGTTTTATTAAAATTTTAGAAAATAATTGAATTCTTTTGAAAAATCTTATAACGGATTAAGAAAAAAATTGAATTCTTTCGTCGAATTTTATTGAAAATAATTGAATTTTTTGCAAAGATTTTACTATTTAAAAAAATAATTGAATTGTTTCGAAGAATTTATTAAAATTTTAGAAAATAATTAAATTTTTTCCTGAAATTGTATTAAAATTGTATTGAAAATATTTACAAATTAAAAAATTTGACTTTTCGAAATTAAAAGGATGGAACGATGATATTCTATTTCTTTCAAATGTCTTATTTTATTTTCGAATAATTTAAAATAAATTGAATAATTATTTTTTTTCAACAGCAGTCTGACGTTCAACCAACAAATCACGAGCGGGAAGAAAAACCAGATTTGGATGAATTACCACCGCCTGAAACAAAACGTCTCTATTTCTCCTATTTCGATCCTCCGGTTCATGTTAAGGAAGACGACGAGAGGTGAGGAATTTTTTCCTTTTTTTTTTTTGATAATATTATTATTCTCCAAAAAATTCAAAACGCCTCAAGTAAAGGAAATATTTTTCAATATCAATTATTTTCAAAAAATCTATAATTAATAATATTGAAATTTTGAAAAAGAAATAAATAATTTTGTTCATTTAAACTTGGAAAATTTTTGGAACATTTTATTTCTTTAGCAAAATAAATAATTTTTTTCAACGTTGAAAACTTCCTTGGGGACGTAAATTATTATTTGTTCAGTAAAAAGAATATGTTTTGGATAAAATGTATTTTTAATATGAATAGAGATAATGAATGAATGAAGAAATGAAAATAAATGAAATGGAAAAAATGGAGTAAATGAAAAATTTTGTTTGCAATTCAGGGACCAGAATCAGTACCTGACAGAAGCTAAACGGCTGAAACATAGTGCTGACGTTGAAAGCGACACCACGGCTCAGGGCATGATGTATATTGAAGCAGTTATGTACTTCGTTCTTACTGGCTGTACCATGGAGAATGATCCCGTAACTGAAAGATCATCTTTCACCATGTACAGAGATACTCTCAGTCTAATTAAGTAAGTTTCTTCGCTTCTAATTAAAAAGAATTTCAATTTTTTCTCAAAATTCATTTACAAATTTACATAATTAAAAATCGTAGACAAATCAAAACTGCGAAAGTCAAATTTTACGCTTTCTATTTTTCTAATGTTTTGATTTTCTAATTATTTTTTACTTTACTAATTATTTTTTATTTTACTCTTTTCAGGTTCATTTCCTCAAAGTTTAAGACGCAACATGCATCAGAAAGCAGCATAAATACCAAACTAATTGTCCTAAGGTAATTTTCTTTTCAATTTTCTATATGTATTGAAATTAATTATTTTTTATATTTTATTTATTTAACTAGCAATCTGGACAATTATTTTATTGCAATTATTTCAATTATGTTTACAGTCGAACCTGTAGGAATGCAACTCTATTTAAAAAATTTTTTTGTATTCAAAAATACCAAACAAGAATAAATTATTTTCACTTAGTTTCGAAATATTGTAAAAATATTACATAATTAAATTATAACACAATTTTTTAAGAATTTTTTATTAAAATAAAATTTTAAAAACCGAGTTGCATTCCGACAGGTTTCATTGTAATTTAAATAATTGAATTAAATCGAAGTAACTGGTGTTAAGTATGATTATTAATGAATTATAATATTGTAATTGTATAATAATCATAAAATTATAATACTATAATTGTTTATTATAAAAACTTAACTTTCTGGATAATTATAATTTATTCCAAGTGGCAACCATTTGTAAAATTTTATATTTTTCATCTAATAATATTATTTTCTACCTTCAGCAATGTGCAAACGTTTGAAAATAAGTTTTTGGGTGACAGCCACTTACCATTGTTTATTTTGTGACGTTTATCTTGTTTTTTTTTGTTGATAAAAAATTCGTCTTTTTAGTAGTTTAGACACTTTAATTAAATTGAATTTTTTCTGTATTTCTTATTTGCTTTTCTAAAATTTAAGAAATTAATTTATATTTAAATTGAAATTAAATTAAAAATATTAATTAAAAGGAAATGAATAATAACCAAAATTAGAAACTGAATTTTAAGAATATTTTCAAAGAAAAACTGATTTTAGTTTAAAGTCTTTCAGTTTTTTTTGCAAATGATGGAAAAATTTTCCATCTTGGAAAATAAATTTTTGTTTTATAATTTTGTGGTTTTAACAATAATAATAAATTAATTAAATAATAATAAAGAGAAGTTTTATATTCGAAATGTTAATTATTTATAATTTTTTTTGCTTAGTGTGTAACAAAATAAATAATTTCAGAAATAGAGGAATGTAAACAATGGGTGGTAACCACCTAGTGTGACGTGGATGTTCGAAAAAAGTGTGTATATGAAAATTTAATGATCTATCAAGTTTATTAACGAGAAATTTTCTTTTTAGTCTATGGTGCCAGTCTCTTATCTACATGAAGCTCTATCAAATGAGAAAAGTCGAAGTCAGGGAGCATCAGAAGGTCCTCACTGATTATTACCAAAAGGTACGAATCTTAATTATTATAAATTATTATTCGTTTCAACTGATTTACATTCGATTGCTTCGTAATCGTAATTATTAATTGCAAATTATTTTCTAATTTTTATTAAAAAATTATTAAAAATTGCGATTGATAAATTAAATAAATTCGTAGTTATTAAGAGTAATTAAATAATTCGTAGTTATACGAAATGATGAAATGAAAAAAAAATTAAAGGAAATGATTACTTTTCGCAGAATCCATCGACGCCGATTCAGCCGGAAGGTCAGGGCACGCCGTCATTATCGCCAACACCATCGCCAGCAGGTTCGGTGGGTTCGGTTGGAAGCCAAAGTTCCGGATACAGTAGCGGAGAATTGGCTCACAGATGCGCTAACGGACAACAACTTCAAGCTGCTTCCTACGTCAGTGTTCCTCTAGGAGTTTACAACGCTTTTTCCAGTCAGAATTATCATTTTAGTTTACTCATGAGTGGCCACGATCTTTGGGACCAGGCGAATGCTTTAGTAACCGGGGAACACAAAAGTGAGTTCTTTTTCTCAATTAAAAACTCAAAATAAAAGAAAATAAATTAAGATGAGAGAAAATAGAAAATAAATTTTTAAAAAAGGAAAGAAAATCTATATTAATCTATATTAATTAAATCGTTGTATTCCGGTAATCTGTTCGCAGTTTGAAATTAGTTGCTGTTTGCTTTCTTGTTTCCTAACTTTTAAAATAATTTTTCTTTTAAAATATTTAAAATTTTTAAATTAATGTACTGAAAATCATTGAATTCTTGTAAAGTATTTATAAAAAAATTTGAAAATAATTGAATTTTACAAAGAATTCAATTATTTTCAATAATTGTTATAAAGTTATTTAATCAATTTAAAATAATAAAAATCATCGTAAAAAATACAATTATTCTTATATAAATAATAAAATTCTTATCTGGATTTAACTTATTTTCAATACAATTTTAATTCATTTTATCGAAAATTTCAATTATTTTAAAAAATAATTGAATTTTTCACAGAAGTTCAAATATAATAATATATAATAATAAATATAATATAATAATAAATAATAATAATAAATAAATAATAAATAAATAAATAATTGAATTCATTTCAAGAATTTTATCAACATTTTTTTCAATAATTGAATTAATTCGAGAAAATGTAATTAATATTGTTAATTTTTACTGAAAATATTGAAAATAATTGAATATTAAGAAGAATTTCCTTTAAGTTTTAGAAATAATCGTGTTTATTATTAATTGCAATTAACGATTTTCCTATTAAATTATGCTAAAATTATTCATAAAAAATTAAATTCTTTTACTTAAACAAATTTATTACAGTTATTCTATTATCTTGAATATAATTGAATTCTTTCCAATAGAAATTTTTATTAAAATTTTATCTGGAAATAATTGAATTTCTCAGAAGAAATTTATAATTTCCGAAAATAATTGAATTCTTGCCAAGAATTTTACAATTTAATAATACTAATTACAATAATTTCCAATAATTTACAATAATTTCCTAAATTTTACAATTTATTAAAATAATTGAATTATTTCGAAGAATTTAATAAGAATTGTTGAAAATAATTGAATTTTTATTAAAAGTCTTAAAAATAATTGAATTTAAATAATATTTCTAAAAATAATTGTATTCTTTCGAAAAATTTTATTAAAATTCTATTGAAAATAATTGAATTCCTCCGAAACATTTTATTATTTATGAAAATATTTTAATTCTTTGGAAGAATTTTTTTCTTTATGCGAAAATAATTGAATTCTTGCGAAGAATTTTACAACTTATAAAAATAATTGAATTGTTTCGTAGAATTTAATAAGAATTGTTGAAAATAATTGAATTTTTATTAAAACTCTTGAAAATAATTGAATTTAAATAATATTTTTAAAAATAATTCTTTCAAAAAAAAATGTTATTAAAAATTTTGAAAATAATTATTTTTTTAAAAGAATTTCATCAAATTTGTTAAAAATAATTTAATTTATATTAAAATTCTTGAAAATAATCGAATTTAATTATTACTTTTAAAAATAATTGTATTCTTTCGATAAATTTTATTAAAATTTAAATTGAAATATATTCTTTCAAAAAAAAATGTTATTAAAATTTTTGAATAATAATAAACAAGAATATTTAATATTATGTACATAATGAGTGGATTCTTTAAATTTTAAATTTGTAATCATTCAAAAATTGATGTTTATTTTTGAAAATATAACATTTTTTAATTTACATAATAATAAGAAATGGAATACCGCGCGTATTATTTGCTAGTAAAATAAATAAATTGAAACACTTGTTAATCAAGTAAAATTGAAAAATTAAGTTTTCGAAAGTTCGAGCAAAAGGGAAAATTACTTTTCTAAAATTAAAAAATTTAAAAGACATTTACAATTTGATAAATTTCTAATTTCTCCCTCTAATTTTTTGTTGCAGAGTTTTTCATCGAGCTGGATGGAAAAATAGGTCCTCTAACATTGAAAAGTTCACTGCGAGATCTTGTGAATTATGTGTTAGAAGGGATCAATAAAATGCGAGCCCTTTGACCTCAGTGGCACAGTCCCCGACCACCAACTCCAAATTACATCACAGCTCTCCCTCCTAACATGTCAACGTATTCAAGTCTGTTTACGTAAACAAAAGAAAAGAATAGACTCTTAAAAAAAACTTGTTGAGCTAAAACTAGTGTTTTACGATTCAGTTTTTCTTTTCGTTCGTCGAGCACAACAGACGTAAACATATATACATATATATATAAATAAATAAATAAATGAAAAAAGGTGCTTGAGGTATTTTAAAGGAACGGGTTTTTACGTTTCTCGCCAAAATTCAAAAAAAAAAAAAAAGCGAGGAACACGTCTCCTGGAGGGATAAAACAACGTTCAGGTTCTCGGGGCTATCATCATCAAGTGTTACACACCTCGTGATTCTGAGCGATTTCTTTAACTTCAAAGACTGCTAAATTATTCCTGTCGATAACCCTCGTTGCGACCAGAGAGAATTGAGAGAATACAATGGTGGCGACATTGCCTTTAAAAAAAATAATCACGAAATGGAACAAAAATGACGAAAGTCATTTTTTTTACCGGAAGAACCAAATGACGATTTTTGTATATTTAGAGCAAATTTGTAAGCAAACAAACAATTTAATGCAATTTAAAGAAAATCGAAAGCTCCAAAAAACAAGGAATTGTACATGCGAACAAGTTTTAAAACAAAATTTTTGTAATTAACAGACAATTTTATAATAAATAAAAAGAAAATCGTTTGTCTTCGTCAACCACCATTGCTCTCGAATTCGAAAATTATTTAAAAATAAATACAAAAATCATGTAGATAACTTAGTAGAAAGAAAGAATTGTTAGTACTTTATTCTTTGGCTGAGGGTCTAGAACGCGAAATAGATGAGGAACAAAAAATTGTAAAATGTTTCTCTATTTTTCTTTCCGAGGTGTCTTGCTTTTTTGTAAAATGTGAGTAGATACAATAACAAAAAAAAAGGAGAACAAAAACAAAGTGCCACAGGAGCGTGCGCTCTCGCTCCTCGTCGCGGGAAGTCTGCAGGTTACCTGAAGCATAAATAATGTCGTTAAGTGATCCAAATCCAAGAATACACGATGAATATAGTTTATTACGTATATAAAGTGATTATATATACATAACGAAAAATTCTATATATACATATATAGTATTTGAAGCGTGTGTACAATATATGCGTGTGCACGTGAAGGAAAATAAAAAAATAAACAAAGTGCGCGCTTGCGCGTCTGTTCGCCGAAGGATTTTGCTCGAATCCATTAAATTTCTAAGCGTCGCAATTCCATCGGTTCACTGACGCGACTTCGTGTTTAGAGTTTTCGATTTTTTGTTTGGTAAAATTACGTCGACATGGAATATTCGGAATTTTTCTGTAGCCGAAAGAGTTGTATTTCGTTTTAACTACTTTTTCACTTCTTTCTCCTCTTTTTTCTCATCTTTTTATTTTTTCTCTTTTCTCTTTTTACTCTTTTTCTTCTTTCTTTTCCTTTTTTCCCCTTTTTCTTCTCTTCTTTATATTCCATATTTCCTTTTTATTCTTCGATATTTCTTCACACGAAAAGCAAATAAATATCAAAGTAAAAGTATTTTACAATCTGGAGAGAAAATGCGACAAAATTTTGATATGAAAAATACTAAAATTTAAACCAAATGCAAAACTTTTAGTAAATTTGTATTAAAATTTATTTAATATTTATATTTATTATAATTATACTAAATTTCACGTGTTTATTAAAATTTTAGCATTACAGGAAAATTTTGCTATTGTTTTTTTTCTTCAAAAAGTGTAAAATACTTTTTACTTTAATATTTATTTTCTGTATTACTTAATTTCTTCCACTGAAACTTTTTTAGTTTATTAATTCTTCTCACACCCACTTTCATTTATTCTTCTACGAATATTATTTTCACAACTCAAATTAATCTCTTGTAAATTTGACACTAGATGGAAATTAACAAAAAAAAAAATTTTTCCCTCTTCCGACTCTCTTGAATATTGATCGCGTTTAAAATTGCCCACGATTTCGAGGAAAGGAAACTTTAAAGGAATTTAAATAGAAAATTACTAGCGTAAGATAATGTGTGATTTAATCTTTTTTTCCCAATCATGGGCAATTTTAAATATCTTTCTCTTGAAATCGCAAATAATTTTTGCTTGTCAATAAATGAGTCAATATTCGGAAAAAGTGGAGAAGGAATTTTGCGATTTTTTTTTCTGAAGAAAAATTTAAATTAAATATAAATCTATTCATGTTTTATTTTATATTGATCCTGCTATTATTTAAATTAAACATAAATATTGAAAGTAAATTATAAATATTTACAAGGTAAACCAAACAATTTGTATAGAATAAAAATATTTCTGTAATTAATTTGAAAGTTGAACGAATTGAAAATTGTAAATTGCAAATTTTTTTTACGTATTTGCAAGAAGAAGGCGAAAATTAAGTTTAAATTAAGCTTTAAAAAATGTTTCTTTTTTTTAAGAAAAAATACTGTATTGGACAGAAAAATTGTCAAAGCAAAACGTAATTAAACGAATTTAAAGTTAATAATTTTATTGAATTTGTATTCATTTTCAAATTTTGTATAAAAAAAATGGCAATTATTTAAATTTCGTAGCGGAAATATTTTTTCTGCGGTATAATTAGTAAATTTGTAATATACGCATTTTTTAAATCATTACTTAATGTTTTAAATTTCATTTTTTTTAAATCCAGTTTTTTTTAATTTCAGTTTTTTTAATTCCCGTTTTTTTTAATTTCATCTTTTTTTAACTAAAAAAAATTTTTTTTTTTTTTGTTTAATTGAAATAATCCGAAAATACCTGTCACGTAATTTTAAAAACTCTATTCACGCAAATGTGTAGATAATCAAGATTAGTAAAAATAGAGATTGAGTACGCAACAATCGACGCAAGTACAGCAAAAATTTCATATATTACAATATTATTTACATTACTTAGAATGTAATGGGGAAAGTAGTGGTAATAGAAAATAAAAAAACAAGCTTTTAAGCAAGTACGTGCATATACGAAAAAAAAAATAAAATTACATTATGTAAAGCGTAAATGAGTGATGAAGAATCGAGCGCATTATACATAATATTAAATAAGTAAGTTGCTCATGTGTATATTTTTGTAAATAGGTATATTATGAGTGCCGCCGCCTTGAGGGTAGCCTAACTGCTTTTTCCGTCGAGCCAGTTGGCTAGCCCGCCCCGATTTTTGCTACGTTTTGCGAGAATATTTGATCAGATTATCTTTCTAGTTTTTAAAAAATAAATCACCAAAAACAAAAAACAGAAAAAAAACTTTAAAATAGAAAAGAAAGAAAATCCAAGAAAATTCTCGATTTTAATTTTTCTGCTTTAAGAAAATAATAAATTTAAAGTGTCCCAAAGTTCTTTCTCTTCGATTTTGTATCTTTTTTGAGAAAAAAAATTTGATTTCATTTTGAATTTATTATTTTCTCTTACGCGAGTCGGCTTTTTCTTTTTTGAAAAATAAAGCAATCTTTTACGAGCCTAGAGAAACTTCGAAAGGATTTTAATATTTTACGCTCCAATAATGCTTGCTGTTATAGTATTGACATTTTCGCTATCGAGATAGAAATCCTTGCTATACTCGAGATTATAAACACAAAATTGATCTTGTATTTATTTAAAAATTAAAACAAAAAAAAAATTGTTTTGTATTAAAAAAAAAGTGATTGAAAAATTTTAATGTAAAAAGTTGAGAAACAATTTTTTTTGTGTTTGCGAATAAAGAAAATTCGATTACGATTCAAAAAAATGAATGCACTGAGAAAAGGGAGAGAGAAAGAGAGAGTGAAGAGTTAAGTTTCTATTTGTGAGTGAAAGTATTTCGACAAAAAAAAAATATTTTGTAAACGAAAAAGTGTCAAAAAGGGCAAAAAATCAAAAGAAAAGCTATAGAGGGCAGTAGTTTAGAAACTCAATGCGGTCCAATGGTTCACGGGATACAATTTTATATTATCAAAAAAAAAAAAGAAAAAAAAGCACTTCTATAACCCAAGGACGCTTGTTAAAGTTATTAAAAAAATGAAACTAGAAAAAATTTTCGATATTTTCATGAACACGTATTAATTGTAAGATAAAATATTGTATATCACGCCCGAAACTCATCAGCTTTATTTTCCCCTTGAAAAAAAAAATTTGTGCGATTCTTGCTTTTTTGACACTTTTTCCCCGCCCCCAGGATTCATGCGAGAGAAAGAGAGAGAAAAAAGAAATCGGTCCACAGTGTTCCTTTAAGTTTATGCATATCAATTTTTTAAGAAATTTATCGCTCCCCTTTTTTACCGAAAAAAAATAGTAGACAACAAGTATGACAGAAAGGAATTAAACCGATTTGAATACGATCCCGAGCGCAGATAATTTCAATCAGTTCGAGTTTCTTAAATGCTGTTTTACATTCGTTGAGACAAATTGTTTTCCATTTTCTTGACAAGGTGCATATTTCCCATGGAATTCTTCGTTTATTGGTATTTTTTATTACTGTAATTAATTAAAATTCTAATTATTAAATCAATTGATTATTGCAATCAAATTAAGTAAAATTCTAATTAATAAATTAATTCAATAATTACTGTAAGAAAAAAATTTTAACCAGAGATTAATTAAAATTGCAATTAGTAAATTAATTAAAATTGTATTTAGTAAATTAATTCATCATTTACATTTCTTACAGTAATTTCTTACAGTAAGAAAAATATTAACCGGAGATTAATTAAAATTGCAATTAGTAAATTAATTAAAATTGTACAGAATAAATTAATTCAGTAATTACTGAAGAAAAAAATTAAATCAAAGATTGTGTAGAAAATTTCGATTTTGATTTCCAAATTCCAAATCAAAAAGTAGAAAATAATTTGGCTCTTCGACTATAAAAAAAAAAAGTGTGAAAAAAAGCGTGACTATAAATATCATTACTGCAATTTGTTTAGTATAAAAATTTGGTCCATTGTATTACGCTACTTGTACTATATTTATATATACTATATAAATATAATATAAAGATACATCTGCAAACCAATGCGTATGTATCCGCATGCAAATACTATTTTAATTGTATTATTATTATATTATTATTATTATTAATATTATTATTATTATATTATATTATATTATTAATATTATTATTTTTAATATTATTATTATTATTACATAATTATGTTATTGCAATTATACTATATTGTAATTATTTTACTACGTTCTTCGAATACAAGAAAAAAAACTTCATTCTCACTCTCTTTTTTTCAAATAATAGTTGGCTTCGAAAAAATGTTGTTTTTATTTTTGGAAAATGATGAAAAGAGCGAGTGATGAGAAGAGAAATGAGAGAGAGAGAGAGAAATAGAATGAACAACGAGTTTTTATGGGCAGAGTTCGAAATATTTAAACAATGAAATAATGACCAAGGCCTTTCATTGAACATTTTATACACTTTGCAACGAGATAGAAAAAAAAAAGATCCGGACTTGGCATCGAAGAATTCTTTTTTTAAATTTTACTCAAAATTAACATCTCATTTCAGGAGATCAAAATTAAATAATAATTTTCGAAAAAAAACTTTTTTTAAATATTACGAAAATTGAAAAAAAAAGAAAAACATTAAAGAAATTAAAAACAATATTTTCCTTTTTAATCAAATATTCGAAAACGGAGATTTTAATTTTATTTTTAATAAATCCAAGTCCGTCTCTTATTTTTTAAAATAGAATTTTCAAATTTAAGTGAAATTTTAAAAAATTATAATAGGAAATTAGTTGTGAAAAAGAAGCGATTTTAGTTCTTTGGGATTAAATAAAATTAAAAAAAAGAAAATTGTAATATTTAATTGAAAGCGCTTAACGCCACAAAACTCTGTATTGTCGAATGCGCAGAAAAGAATATGAATTTGAAAAAAAAAATAATTGTAAATGCTGGTGAAGTATCGAGAGCGCAACGAGATGAAATATAGAGAAAGAGATATGTAAAGCACACCAAGGAGAGACCAAACTCGCTTAAGATTATATTTACTACTTGCTTTTTATTTATTTGACTTATTATTATTATTATTATTATTATTATTATTATTATTATTATTATTATTATTATTAGTTATTATTATATTATTAATATTATTATTATATTATTATTATTATTATTATTATTATTATTATTATTATTATTATTATTATTATTATTATTATTATTATTATTATTATATTATTATATTATTATTATTATATTACAATTATTATGCAATTAAATAATAATTATTATTAATTAATTATTATATTTATTGGCGTGGAGGCTGAACGAACCAGCCAAAGCCACATTTTTCTAATAAATTAAATTTTGTTGACACTAATATTATAATTGTTACTTAACTAATATTGTTTCAATTGTGCAAGAAAAAAAAATCGTAGACATTGAAAGTCCTATTTTTAAAAATATAATTTTGTCCCAATGTAATATATTTCTATTTTTTCAAAATCAGAGTGAAACATAACAAAGCTTATTTGAAAAGAACTCTGATATGAAAAAAATATTGTCGACCAGTTTTTCTTTTTTTTTTTATTTTTGTATTATTTTCTTTTTAATCGGAAAATTTGTTCTTTTTCAATTTTAAATTCAATGGGTCTGCTAAAAAACTGAAAATATATTCGTCCTTGGTAGACTATTTCAAATGAGAATGCGTGTCGATGGGCTTGGCTTTGGTACTTTTACTGTGCTATACTTGTAATGATTAATTTATAATTTTGAATTTATAAATTTATCCTTATAGGCTCGTGCAACAATAAAAGGGAAAAAGAAATTATTTTTATTAATTAAACTAAATTTACTTAAATTAACTGAATTTGATTTTTTCTTACTTTTCGAAAATAATTATTAGTAAAATAATAATTATTTTTCGAAAATAATTATTAAAATAATTATTTTTTGAAAATAGTTATTAAAATAATTATAATCTTTTGAAAATAATTATTAAAATAATTATTTTTAGAAAATAATTAGTTTGAGTAAATTTTTTTTTGTTAATAAAGATGGAAAATTTTTTTTCTCTCTACTAAATTCAATGGAAATTATTTTTATGTAATTATTTTATTCGTCTTCTTTCCCTTCCCCCCCCCCCACCGAAACCCCCCCAAATCTCGCACCTCTCTGGTGAGGAACAATATTTAAGTTTCAAAAGTATGAAGCTTCTATTTCGCTTAAATAAAAATAAACACATAAATGCGATTTAAAAAAACGAAAAAAGAAATTGTAATATATCGAAAAGAGAATCAATTATACACATTTTATCATCTCTTATATAGTGAAGATTATTAAAGAAAAAACAAATATTAATAAAAAAAAAAATGGAAGCAAAGAGAAAAAGCACAGTGACAATATGTATACATAATATACATTTGCGAAAATATTTTGTGAACAGGGCTTTTTTTACCTATTTTATAGTAATCTCATTAAGAGGCTTTGTCCAGAGAAGCAAAAGAGAGAGAGAGAGAGAGAGAGATATAGAATTACATTTAAATGAAAAAAAAAAATAAAAAAAGCAATCTGTAACTGAACATATATAAATATATATATAGTTTAGAAATGACGTTGTGGTCGACGGGGCGGTTCGATAATTTATCGACCTGTACTCAATTTTCTTCAATTTTTTTTTTACATTTTTCGCCTTAGGCTGGCATTGTCATTATTCTAATTATTATATTATTGTGTATATGGTATAAATTGTAAAAAGGAACGTATTTACTACATCGTATTCATTTTATGGGGAATAATTGTCCTCCAAATGAACATATTGTTTAAAGTAAATTGAATAAATAAATAAAACATTGACCAAATCAAAAAAAAAAAAAAAAAATTGACGCTGTCCTTTTTTAATTACTTTTCTGTTTACCAATTAAATTATCGTCTTGATTTCTTTTGTTATTTGTAAATAATTTTTTATTACAAAAATTTGTTATTTAAAAATTAATTAATTAAATTATTTTTTATTAGAAAATTAGTTATTTAAAAATTAATTAAATGAATAATTTTTACAGAAAATTTAATTATTAATTACGAATTTATGATTAATTTTTTTAATTAATTTTAAATCAAAGAAATCAAATTAATTTTTAAATTTATTAATTAATTATTATAAGTTATAACGATATTTTTGTTTTGTTACATTTGTTTAATAATTTTCTTTATTTATTTAATAATTATTTAATTATAAGTTTTAATTATAATTTAATTCTTTTTAATTATAATAAAAAGTAATATTTATAACAAAAACATGAAAATATTTTAATTACTATTCAATTAAAATACATTTGTTTAATTGTAGTTGTTATTAATTATAATTAAGGAAATATTAATTAAATAATTATTTTATTAATTGTTTTCGTTGTAAATAAATTTTATTTTGTTTCTTTTTTTTCTTATTTCACTATTTTGTAGCATTTTCTTCGTCCATTTTATTTTTTTAATTTGTTATTTTATTTATTTATGTTTTGTATTTGTTTATTTATTTTTTTTATCATTTTAAATTATTTAAACTTTATTTATTTATTTATCAGAAGTTAATTAAATAATGAATAAATTATGTCATGAAATTAATTACTTATACAGAACTAATAATAGTAATAATAGGTAATAATAATAATAATAGTAATAATAATAATAATGATAATGATAATAATGTTTATAATAATTTTACTGATAATAATAATAATAATAATAATAATAATAATAAAAAATAATATAATAAGAATATTACTAAGAATAATAATAAGAATTGTAATTAGAATAGTAATTAGAATAATATTGATAGTTACAATATTTATTTTACATTTATATTATTTTAATTTACATTATGAAATCTTCGTGCGAGAAATTTGGAAAATTTGAAATTCAAATTCTTTTCGAGTCTAATTCGATTTGTGCATAACTTCACATTGCTCGATTTCATTGTTTATTTTCTCGTTTTATCTAATTCTCCATATTATAATTAATTTAACCCCAATTTTATGTATTTCAGTTCAATTATTATTCTTCCGCTACTTTATTTCACTCATATTACGATAATAATTGTTCTGTGTGTTTGTTTTTTATTAATAAATTTCAATTTACAAATTATGCATTTCAAATTTTTGAATTCGATTGACGTATCGATATCTCGAAGTTGGTTCGAGAGTCGACCACTGGCGGCGCTGCTGCAACAGTGTGAATGAAGCTGAAGGAGCTGCACACCACAACTCGGTTAGTCGGTTAAGTTGCGTCTCAACCTCCGTATTGGAAGGTTGTGTTTACTTTTGTAATCTCTTTTTTTGGTTTTTGTGATTCAACAGATTGCATGTAAAATCTTTTGTGTTGTTGTATTGTTAAAAAAGTAATGTTATTGTCAGTCTGTAAACGACATCCGTGATGGATTTAGTGTGTTGTCAAGTGTTTTGTGCTATTGGAAAAAAGTTTTGAAGATAAATCATCTCTCCGAGACCGTGTCCAAACTGTACCAATCGTCGTTTGTCGTCTTTGTTTTGTTTATCGGCATATATAATTCCGGAGTTTTTTCACATTACGCTACAATTTTTCAAGGTAAGCTTTATACTTATATAAATATTACTCAGTCGTGTATGATTAGGCACTGATAAGATAATTGTCAATTAACTTCTACTACTGTTATTCGGCGCAGCCACCTGTTGGTTTTGCGGAAAATAATTTTCATTTATTATATTCATTTACGAAAAACGGAAATTGTGGGGAAAATATTTAGCAGTCGGATAGGATAAATTAGTAAATGTGGATTTTCCCATGCTAGTTTTTAACGAAAATGTACAGAATTGTTTTGCGAATATAACCGTGAAATATTTGTTAATTCTTTTTTCGTTTCTTTTATCAAACTTTTAAAGTGTTTTATGGTTTTTTCGGGAGATAAATTTTTATCCATTAGGAGTATTAGGGATATAAATTGATAATCCAATACGAGAAGTATATATACGATTGTGTGTAGGTCCTTATCGGAGCTGCATTCCTTGTTTCCCCTCACGCTTTAAAGTTGTAAGGAATGGAATTCGAGGATGCATACATTTAAGATACACATACAGGGAAAATACACAGTTTAACGTCTCGTTTCTCACCTTGTTTTGCTTTACTCCATTCGAAAAGCGGAATCGTTTACATTGAATATGGCATTCCTTTTTAATGTCAAAAAAAAGAATCTAAATACTAAACTATTTCTAATGGCCGATACCTTCAATATAAGAAATTACTATCAATAAATTGCTATTTAATAAATTAATTAAAATGAACTGTTAATAAAATTAAAATAAACTGTCATTAAAATAAATTGTTAGTAAATCAATTAATCAAATACAATTAATACAATGAATGAATACTATTCAGAAATATGTAATTATTTTCAAAAAGTAATTATTCCTTTTAAGTAAGAAAGGATTTTTGAATATTTGTCTTTTAAAAAACTTGTTTTCCTTATAGAGAATAGACCGCCTAGAAATTTATTTCTTAAAAATTGTCTTGTCTACTTTTTCCTCGCTTTATGATTCGTTTCGTTTTTTTTCCTTTGGCATGGTCAATGACTTTAACAGTACATTGTTATTATTATTGTATTTGATTAATGTTATAAAAGGTTTTTTTATTTATAGACTTAAAAATTTTACGTTTGAACCGAGCAATAATTAAGAATAAAATTCTATTTGACTTTTTGATAAATTACAATAGAATTGACAGAAAAAAACATGGATAATTTACAATAGAAATTCGGATAATTGAAATAAATGAAAGTATAGCAATTATTTCGAGAATCATCTTTGTATTAATTATTAATTTTATTAATGTTCATATTGCATTTTTTTTTATTAATTTCCTTTTCTTTTAATTTTTATTTTTGGAAATAAAAATATTTTTTTATTATTAATTTATGAATTTATTAATATTTTAATAAGAAAGAATTTAACTAAAATTTGTTTTGAATTATTACAAAAAATGTCATTTTTCATAAACGTGATAAAAGATTTTTTTTATAGTTTTTGAACAGACAATTTTTTCAACCTGTCATCTTTTTCCTGTCAAACTTTAACGACTCTTTTACAACATTTAAATACGGTTTTGGATAGTATAACATTTTATAGGCGCGATATAAAAAAAAATTTCTTCAAATGCATATTTTATAATTTTATGAAATATTTAATAGTTATCTGACTTGTAATCACTTGGAATCTCATATATATGAGAGGAATCATTTTGAATGTTTATCCTGGTCGCGGAGAGGAAGGCCAAGAGTATAAAGTAGTCTGGCTACGTCTTGGCCTTGAAATTGTGTGGCTGGACCAGGGGAATGTGATCTCGACCTAAAGTGTATAGTATATACGATTCAGAGTTTCTTTGTTGATTTCCTCACTTTATAATAATGTACGATTGAAAATTATTTACGTTTCATCGTTGACCTCATTTTTATATTCCCCCTTTCTAAATTTTCAAAAAAAGAAAAATTAACGTTTATTCTCTTTCTATTATATGTGCCCTTGTGCAAGTCTTCTCCTTTTTTTCACGGTCATTTGTTGATGATGTTTTTATATAATTTCTCATTGGTTAATTTTAGTTTCAAAATAATATATATATACATACTTTATAGTCTCTTATAGCTTCTGTATAGGATTTATTTTTGATTCAAACTTATTTACGAGTATTTATTTAAATCCGGTCGAGAATATTTTACACATACTTGAAAATGTAATAGTTGATTTCAACTTGAATTTATTTCTTAATTTTATTTGTTTGAAGTGTTTTAAAATAATTTTCAAGTACATAGAAAACTGTTTGTTTTATACTTTATCAGGCTATCATAATTATCGTAATTTTTAATTATCTTTTTCTACAAAAGTAAGGAAGTATATTTAATTATTTTACTATATACTTGACATGGGGAACGGAAATAAAACAAATTTTTCATTTAATAATAATAATAATAATAATTATATTATAAAATAATTATCATTCTTATTATTTTACTTAAATATTTCAAAATTGATTCAATTTTAAAAGAGTTGCGTTTACAATAAATTGTCATAAATAGATGAACTTGAAAAGTTTTTAATTTAAAATTTTATAATAATTGAAACTATAAATAAATTTGTTTACATATATTTAATTAATTATTAAAAATAATGGATTTATAGAAGAATTTTAGTTAAAAACACTAAAGAAAAATTACAATTTAGAGCAGTTACAAATTATAGCAGAAATTCAATTAATATTCAAAATTTTTTTTTAATTCTAGTCAAAATTTCAATTATTTAAAAAAAAAATAATAAATAATAAAATTCTTCTCCGAAATTCAATTATTTTCGAAAAATTTTAATAAAATTGTTGGAAAAATTTCAATTATTTAAAAACATTTTCCTCCATTCAATTATTTTCTATATTTACTATTTTAATAAAATTTTCCAAAAGAATTCAATTATTTAAAAAATATTTTAATAGAATTCTGTGCAAACAGTTAATTACTTTCATAAATAATAAAACTTTCACAGGAATTCAATTATTTCAATTGAAATCAATTGAAATCAATTATTCAGGGTTGCTACAGAACCTGGAAAACCTGGAAAAGTCAGGGATTTTTTAAAAAAGGTCTGGAATACCTGGAAAAGTCAGGGATTTTTTAAAAAAAAGGTCTGGAATACCTGGAAATGTCATGGAAATTTGAAATGCCTGGAATTTTATTCCACTTAATATTTTTTACTACATTTTTTCTTTTAAAAAATGATGTCCTGGAATTCCTGGAAATGTCCTGAAATATCCTTGAATTTTCCATATTTTGCTTTTAAATATTCAATAATTTAAAAATTTTACTCAAATTTAAAAAAATAATTTTTTTGATCCATCAAAAAATAATTTTAATTTGTCGTTTGATTAAAGAATCTGATATCTACACTGTTAAAAATTTTTGTTCCAAATTTTATACAAAAATGTTTGAAGCAATTATCATATACAATTTTGAAAAACTACAACACACATTTTTAAATTTAATACAAATTTTCTTATTAAATTTTAAAACACATTTCTTTAAAATTTTCAAATTATTCTTTGGAAAATTAATACAAAGTGTTTGAATGAAATTTCAAATAGTTTTGTTTGAAACTTCAAACAGTTTTGTTTGAAATTTCAAACAAATCTGTTTGAAATACCAAAACGATTTAAATATTTAAATGAAAAATCTAAACTGTTTATATTGTGTTTTGCTATGTTACAATAAATGTAAATTAATTAAAAAAAAAGTTTTATTGGCATTTTTACGGAAATTCGACACTACGATTTGAACCCTTAGTCGTATATAGTGTTGTCTGTGTATAGTGTGTCTTGTATGGAGCCATCAACCTTGGGAGCTGCGCCTAGACGCGCTCGACCAAGGGAGGCTATGAAAATCTCTTGCAAAGTATCAGCAGTAAGAAACATGTGGACCATTCCCTTTTTTTGACTTCTTCTAAATTTCTAAAGATTCAATATCTTTAAAATTCTTCACCAACCGATTCTTGTATTCTTTACTTTTTTTCTTTTCACGTTTCTGTTAAATTTATGATATGTATTAAGATGTTTAAGAAATATTTAAACAATACTTTATGAACAGCAGATTTTTTATGGAAAAATATTTTTCTATTTAATTTATCAGTTTTTAAATTTTAATCTGTACAATATAACTAACTATATTAATTAATTATATTATATCATCCAAAAAGCTGTTTTCCTCTTAACAAGTTTTGTCAAATTTAACTAATTAAACTGATTAAAAAAAATTTTAGTTATTTCAACATTTGAAAATGTATTTACTTATAAATAATGTTTTAAACTAATTTAGAGAATTATTAAACACATATGTTTTAAGCAATTTCGTATAAAAACTCAAAAAAATTTTAATTAAGTACTTTTTAATGAAAAAGTTGTAAATTTACTTACAATATTTTAAAACATATGTGTATTGAATTATTTTACACATAAATTTTTCAAACACTTTTTTATGAAAAGGTTGTAAATTTACATATTTTTCAAACTTATGTATTTGAAGTTAATCCATACAAAAATTTTTGAAAATTTCAAACACTTTTGTTTGAAAATATTGTAAATTTACAAATCTTTCAAACATATGTATTTGAAGTTAATCCATACAAAAATTTTTGAAAATTTCAAACACTTCTGTTTGAAAATATTGTAAATTTACAAATCTTTCAAACACGCGTTTTTGAAATTATTTCATATACAAAATTTGTAAATTTTCAATCACTTTTTGTATTAAAGTGTTGTAAATTTACAATCTTTTTTAACAGTGTATATTATATAATATTGATTTTTAACTCTTTTTATAATAAAATTAATATTTTTGTTCAAGTAGGTTAATTTAAATTATGTTAATCGTAATATGAAATAATATTACACATGTAAATGTCCTAGAAAATTAAAAAATCTGTCCTGGAATGTCCTGGAATTTTAAGTCATATTTTCAGTAGACACCCTGTCTGTGCTTTAATAATCAAATAGAGATAATCTAACGTGAATATTTTTATAATACAGAAAAATTCTAATTT